GAACCCTCGGCGGGAGCGCCGCCACGCTCCCAAGCAGCGCACTGTAGCAGTGCGCCACCGGGCCGGCCCCGAAAGATACTGTTAAGTAAATGAAAATACAAGCCACAGACTGGTAGAAACTATTTCCAAATCATCATCTGATAAAAGACTTGTATCTAGAATATATAAAAAATTCCCAATATTCAATAATAAGAAAACAACCCAATAAAAAAAATGGGCAAAAGATTTGACTGAACACACGCTTCCCCCCAAAATATATAAGGATGGCAAATACACACATGAAAAGATGCTCAAAATCATTAGTCATTAGAAAAATACAAATTAAAACCACAATAAGATATCCCAACACACTTATTAGAATGGTTACAATTTAAAAGACTGACTGTACCTAGAAGTAGCTGGGATGTGGAGAAACTGGAACTCTCATACACTGCTGGTGGGAATGTAAAACGGACACAGCCACTTTGGAAATCAGCTTGACTCTTTCTTAAAAAGTTAAAGTGTAAGCCTACCATATGATTCAGTCATTCCACTCCTAGGCATTTACCCAAGAGAAATGAAAACATGTCCAAACAGACATGTACACTAATGTTCCTAGCAACACTATTCATAATAACCCAAAACTGGACACAGCCCAAATTCCATGAGCAGATAAATGAATAAACAAATTGTGATGTATCCACACAATGGACTACTACTCTGCAATAAAAAAGAATGGACTATTCATTGATGTAAAAATATGGATGGATATTAAAATAATTATGCAGAGTAAAAGAAGCCAGACCAAAAAAAAGTACATATTTACAATAACATTCATATAAAACTAGAAAATGCAAACAAATCTGCAGTGACCAAAAGCAGATCAGTTGTTGCCTCAGGACCAGCGTTTGGGAGGGAAAAGGTGGGGACTGAGAACGGTGGAATGGGAGGATAATAAAGCAGCACAAGAATATTTGGGGGGCTGGTGGATATGTTCACTGTCTTGATTGTGATGATGATTTCATGGGTATATCTGCAAGTCAAAACTTATCGGATCTTACACTTTAAATATGTGCAGTTTAATATATGTTAATTATACCTCATAAAGTTGACTATTCTTAAAACAAAAAGTGAAAAGTGATAAAGAAGGGAGATTGTGGGAGAACAGTTGTGAGTGCCTGGACTGAGACCTGAATCAGAGTGTATATTTTTTAGTTAACAGGAGAATATAGATTGGATACAGGTTGTCAGTAAAGGATTGAGAGAGTGCTAATAGACTATTCTAACCAATCCTAAAAAGTGCTTTAAATGGGGAAGAACTAAACCTATTGCCACAGTTACTAAATAGCATATCCTCTCTTTCAGGAAAAGCATGCAAGTTTCAACGACGTGGCCCTTTTAGACATGATTTGTAAGTTTTGGTGATTGTATTTATATTTAATCCATCAGTTTCATCAGAGGCAATTTTTTATGTCAGGACTCAGATTTTAGAGTCCAGGAGACCTGGTGTCAAATCCCAACTCTGTCACTTACCAGTCTTGTGTCCTTTGCCACATAAGCCTGACTTCTCCTAAATGCAATGGAGATAATAATAGTACCTACTTCACAGGAGTGTTGTGAGTATTAAAGAGACAGTGGTTGAAAAGCTCTCAGCACAGTAACTGGCAGATAATATGCACATAATAAATATTTGTTTTGGCTTTGTATTATTACTGTTATAGAACTTGAAAATATATTTCTGAGAATTTGTTATTATAGTTTCTCACCTCTCCTCCCTTCCATTTCTTTGATTTTTTTTCTCACTGTGTCCTGTTTTCCTGGGTATTTTTCCAGTACATCTGTTTTTTTCATCAGGAGGCAACATAGTGTAGGGGCTAAGAACACAGACCCTAGGGCCAGGTTTCTTGGGTTTGTTTCATGCTTTCTCATTCCTCCCTGTGAACCCTGGGGCAAGGCAGTTAACATCACTGTGCCTCACTGTACAGTATTGTCATTTGACAAATCTGTATAATATTGATAATATTGCATAATGTTATGGTGAGGATTAAATAAGAGTACACGTTAAATACTTTGAACAGAGCCTGGTATTTATTAATTAATTGTTATCATTATATATTAACTGCCTTCTATGACCCAGAAGTGTAACAAAAATCTTTATTAAACTTTGCTTCAACTGTGACATCACTGAATTTATTCAGAGCATCTGCCTTTGATTTCGTTTGTGTCATTCTCAGTGATTGGATTCTGTCTAAGCCATAAAAAGTGGATCCATAGAGTTCCCATTTCTCACACATACATTCAAATGTTCATTAAGTACCCACTATGTGCCAGCCAGTGTGCTAGTCACTGGTGAGTGAAACAGGTGACCCATACTCCCTTAGAGGTCACAGTGTACTTGAGGAGAGAGGTTTGTCAGTTAATCACACAAGTGCATGCTTGCACATGGTAATGAATGCTGTGAAGGAAAGAAATAAAGAAGGGTCTATGGGAGCGTGATGGGACTGCTGTACTGTGGGGGTTTAGGAAAGACTTACTGAGATGGCATTTGAGCTGAGATCCAAAGCATAAGTTTGCATTAACCAGGAAAAGGGGAGAAGAGAGGTTAAGGAGCAGGAGGGGCAAAGGGCATGGCATGCATGAGTGGGAGGGGGTATACCCAGGAGCAGAGGGAAGGCGGGTAGTGGAAGCTCAGTGCTGCAGGAGGAGGGGTAAGCTAAATGAAGTTTGTGGGAGGCTGGGGGACCACAATACAGAGACCTAGAGGGCACTGGGCTGATTTCAGTCTTTTTGCTAGGAACAGTGCACAGCCTTTGAAGGATATGAGCAGGAAAGTATTGAGTGCTTGTTTTTTGAAAGATTGCTCTGGTTACAGTGCAGAAAGGAAGGATGGGGAGAGACCTACCAGAATCTCATGGAGAGGTCCAAGCGAGAGAAGACAATAGCCTGGGTGAAATGGTGGGAAGGGAGATGGAGAGAAATGGGTAGGGCCAAGGAATATAAGGATTGAAAGTGAAGGGACTTGTTCATGGTGTGGTCAGGGGCCGTGAGTGGGAGGAGTACACATGACTCCCGTGTCTGTACATGCGACTAGAACAAAAGTAGAGCCCCTGATAAGATGGGGAACCACATGTGTCACAAAGGTCATGGGCTAGTCTAAGATGTGTCCTATTTGAGGTCATAAATGTCTTCAAAGACCTTGACATTTATTTCATTAACTTTTAAATATTTATGTTTAATGGAATTATTGACAATAAAAATTTTAATTTCTGTTATTGTCATACCAACCTTATTCAGAGACCAATTAGCAGGTCATCTCAACTCTGAAACAGAACCAAGGAAGAAAGTATCAGGGAAAAAAAAAAAAAAAACCTTTGGATGCTGTCTCTTGAGCAGGCATCATGCTGTGCCTGCTTACACTTGCTTTAGACAAAACCAGATAATCAATGAAGAATTGTCAGGCCCTTTGCCATAAATGGTAGTGGAGGCGGGGTAACAATCACCCAAGCACCAAAAAAAGGAAAGATACTGAACCTAAGGAAGGACAAGAAAGGTAATAAGTGCAGAAAGCATGGCAAGTTGCCCTTGAATATTGGGGCCAGTAGCCGCTTTTTATGGGATATTGAAAACCTGGTCTGAGGTCCAGAGACACAGATGGAAGTCAGCGCAGGCAGACAGAGGTCAGTACATGTAGATGAAGATCAGCCCAGGGACAGACAGAGGTCAGTACATGTAGATGAAGATCAGCCCAGGGACAGACAGAGGTCAGTGCAGGACAGTTTTAAGCCAGGAGGATGATGAAGTAGAGTTGAACTTGCTAACTTCCTAATTGAGCTTCCTAGGCCTATTTCTACTCCAAGATGCTCTTAAGTTTGTAACTCCTGAAGGGTATCTGCTATATCATGCATTTATTCATTTGTCAAACATATACTGAGAGCTTGCTTTATAGGAGGCAGTTAAGTCAGACTGCGACTACAACAATGAACAAGTCCCTCATTTCCACGAGAATCTAGGTGGGGAGACAGGCAGTAAGCAGGTGAACATCCAGATACGTAATGTGATGTCAGGTAGCAATGAGTCCTACCTGAAAGTACTGAAACTGAAGCAGGGTGATTTAGGTAGGGTGATCAAGGTAGGCCACTCTGAGTTGACGGCCTCCAAGTAGAGAGCAGAATGAGGTGAGGAACAAGGTGTGTAAGGGCCTAAGTCAAAGAGACTCCAGGCAGAGGGACCAGTGGGGTGAGTGTCAGTCACGTGCAGAACACCGTTCCCTGTCATGCCAGATAAGCACAGCACTCAATGGAGCAGACCTGTGTGGAAACAGGAGGAATAGGCTAAGATAAGAAAACATGCTGAAACTGAACTGTGTTGTCTAGGTTGGCTGAATTGAATAATTATATTTTGTTTTATTTGTCTGAAGTAAATTTAATTCATATAAAGTTTACATTTTGAATAAAAATAACCTAATTTTTGAATTATTGTTATTTTCCTCAGTCAGTTTTATATTATTAAAAATATGTATTTTTAAGCACATTACTTCAAAGTTCTGCTATTTAATACTAAGTAGGAAGCCCTTCCTCCCTCTCTCAGATACTCAAGTTCATCGGCACCAGAAAGTTTGGAATGTTTTTCAGATGAGTAAAGAACCAGGTAATATTTTCCATTTTACATTGAACATTTGATATTTTGATATTTGATATTTTGGCAATTTAAAAGTGAATGGCAGTATATTCCTCTTAAATCTATTTCTTCCAAAATAGGTGATTATTTATTAGTTATATATGGAAAATGAAAAATATATTTTGTGGTGCCGTGTCAGAGGCACTAGTAGCATTTGTGTGATTTGATCATTGCTCAGGGGTTACACAATAATACTTAGCTTCAGGGTTCTTTGCAAATGTGTTAATTGAAGACATTGTAGCTGCCTTAACTTCTCTTTTTCTTTTCTCTTTGGCAGGTGAAGACATTGACCTTTTTGATATGAAACAATTTAAAACTGCATTTAAGAAAATTCTCCAGAGAGCACTAAAAAATGTAAGAATAAAATATACCTGAATTTCCATGAAATTCAATTTGATGACATCTGTGCACTTAAAATTTGCTACTATCTTGTGTTTTTGTATTTGTAAGAAGTTCAGTTAGTAAGATTCCAAACTATTCTATTCCATATCAAAGACAAACTCTAAATATTATTAAAACCTTCCCTCTCTTCTCACCTGTCCATTCAGGGCCTGATGCTTCCTTCTCAAAAGTAGCCTGTCCAGTAGAACTCTCTGCAATGATAGAAGTATTCTGTACCGGCAGAGTCCACTACACATGTGGCTGCTGAGCACTTGAGATGTGACTAGTATAACTGAGGAACTGAATCTTTAATCTTATTTAACTTTAGTGCATTTAAGTTAAATAGTCACATGCGGCTAGTGGCTCCAGTATCAGGCAGTGCAGCTCTGGAGCACTGGAAGCATTTTTGCTTTTGTGATGTGGAACAAAGAAGCTATTCAGAGTAAGACCCTCTTCTATTCAAGCCAGAAGCCCACTGAGCACCTGATGGGGCCAAGCTCTGTGCTGCTTGCTGAGGAAAGTCAAGTAGCCCTGTGCCTCCATGCTTCAGGTTGGGGAGAGTTCCTTGTCTTTTGCGCTGAGAGAATTTGGAAAAGAGCTAGATAAAAGTATGGGCAGAGTTTGCTAGTGCTAGCAGCCACCATAACAACCTGCTTTTCCTGGAGTAAGATCTGAGAGGGAGGAAATAAAGAGAGGTGGGCAAGCCAAGTTCACCTGCCAACAGCTTCAAGGGGAAGCTGAGTAAGGGGTAAGCTGATTATTTAAGAGCAGGCTGTTAATTTCTGGACTTCTTGGGGCTGGCTAGTTAGCTCAGCTAGTTAGAGTGCAGCCTTATAACACCACGGTCACAGGTTCAGATCCCTATACCGGCCAGCTGCCAAAAAAATAAATAAATTCTGGACCAATTGACAATCATATTTAAAAGTTTTGAAAGGCCTATATTTTATCCATGAAATGGAAACCAAGTAAAACTTCCTGTATTCCTGCCATATAACATTCCTTTAGAATAGTTTTTAGGGCCGGCCCGTGGCTCACTCGGGAGAGTGCGGTGCTGATAACACCAAGGCCCCGGGTTCGGATCCCATATAGGGATGGCCGGTTCGCTCACTGGCTGAGCGTGGTGCTGACAACACCAAGTCAAGGGTTAAGATCCCCTTACCGGTCATCTTTTAAAAAAAAAAAAAAGAAATTGACAAAGGAATACAATCAATTAACAAAAACACAAATAGCAATTATAGAAATAAAGAATACATTGTCTGAATTGAAAAACTTGATAGAAAGCTCCCACAGCAGACTCGACCAAATGGAGGAAAGAATCGGTGAGCTAATATGAAATCATTCAATCAGAGGAGCAAAAAGAAAATAAGAAAAAACTTGGTGGTGTCAGCACCACGCTCTCCGAAGTCAGCTAACCGGCCATCCCTGTATAGGAATCCGAACCCCTGGCCTTGGTGTTATCAGCACCACACTCTCCCGAGTAAGCCACGGGCTGGCCCAGGATTAGTATATTTTTAAGCCCATTCCTACATAGAAATCTTACTATTAAACTTTATAGTGCATGCTGGGTCTGTGCTAGATGCTAAAAAGGCTTCATTGTAAAACAGGTATCTCCTGTAAGGCTGCCTTAAACTCCTTATAAACTCTTACAGGTGGAGGAACACAGTTTTCAGGACAAGCCCAAGAAATTATTGAAAAATATTGATGTCAAATCCTGATTACAGCTTTTAAAAATTTTTTTCTTCCAAAAGACTTTGCAAAGCATAAATGCATCTTTATAAAACAATCACAAAATGATTTCCCAAAGATTCCCCAGAACACTGTCATGAAAAGAAGGGGAAAAGACCACCAGGTCTCAACCTGTATACAAGATTATAGTCACATTGTTTACCCTCAAAAAGTACCTCCAGTTGGTGCCACAATGAGATTTTAATTAGAAAACAAATCTTTTGGGCCGGCCCGGTGGCGCACTGGATAGTGCGCCGCTTGGGAAGCGCGGCGGCGTTGAAAGGAGGCACAGTGAGGGTTGTACAGTGGGAAAGCCACACTCCACACTAGGAATCCCATTCAAGCAGCTCTCAGCTTCTAATATTCAAATGGCACTGCCATGTTTGCTGCCTCGGAATCATCACACGATTCCTCCTCATTACAGGCGACAAACCAAATATCAGCAGCTAAAATCATAATTAATGTTATTAGGGGCAGCAAAATGAAGGGGGCCACACAATTACCCAAGGGTAAAATCAACCTCCAGTCAGCAATCCTAGCTAATTGTCCAGAAAAGAGAAGCTTCCATCTCCCCGCCCACTTCTCCCATTCCTTTTGAAATCCGTTTCAGAACGATGGAGACGTAAATAAAGAATCAAGCTCAAATCAATGGCAAATGAGTCAAAATATGTAAAGGGAAGGAATCTCTGATTCACGTGCCTCTAATTGCAGCTTCCAATTGCTCCTTTCATGCTGAATGGGCTTCCCGGGCAAGACCAGGAGATGGACAAGGCCCCCATGCAGTAGCCAGGTGCGGGGTTCTCCCTCATGTGACCGTGTGAACCAGTGTCAAACCTCATCAACCTAGCTCCAGAGGCCAAAGGCAGGGGTGTGAGCCTACCCGCGGGGATGTTTGGCACACTGGAGTAAGATTGTTTGGTGATGAGGGCCGTGCCAAAGAAACAGAAGAGACAGTTGCCGAGTTTATCAGGAGGAACATCTTGAAAATCCCCAAGACTGAAATAATGACAATCCTGAAAGCATAAGATTTTTAATCCGAAAATCGACTGCAGACTGTAAAGTTCCAGAAGGACAAAGAGTCTCCCATTCAGCACTTGATTCTGCTCTGTGAGGAAAAGCATGCAAGTCTCAATGACACGGCCCTCATTGGCGCCAGAAAGTTTGGGATGTTTTTCAGATGAGTAAAGGGCCAGGTCAAGACGTTGACCTTTTTGATAGAAAACAATTTAAAAGTTCATTTAAGAAAATTCTTCAGAGAGCATTAGAAGATATGATGGTCAGCTTCAGAGACACTGAGGAGAATGCAGTCTGGATTCGAATTGCCTGGGGAACACAGTATACAAAGCCGAAACAGTACAAACCTACTTATGTGGTGTATTATCCCCAGACTCCATATGCCTTCGCTTCTTTCTCCAGCCTAAGGAGCAATATACCACTTCTGGGTCAGGTATGAAACAAATTATTAGAAGTTATAATATTTTATTATCCTTATCTCAAAGGTCTACGTAGGTTTAAACTGATCAATAAGCATTTGATATAAAATACCACATTTAATTCTTGTTTTCCTAAAATAAGGAGCAGAGAGAATTGTTACCTACAAGCAGGAAAATGGCAAAAGATCTTAGTTTGAAGCTAATTTTTGTTGTTTTTAATCTAGAAGTAATGCATGCTTAATGTAAAAAACAACCAATTCAGAAGTCTCTAAAGATAAAAAGTTAGTCTCCAAAACTTCATATCCCTTTTCCCTACCCCAGTCACCCAAAATAACTATTCTTAAAGTTTGCTATTTCCTTTCAGATGTTTTATTACAAAAGCCAGGGCCGTACGTATGGTTCTGTAATTTGCTTTTTGAACTTAACAAAACATTTCCATGTGGTTACATATGAATATACCTCATTGCTTTTTTATGACTTATAATTTGCCTATTAATGAACATTATTTTCATTTGTAACCATTTTCCCCACATTCTGTACACAAAAGGACTACTTTGACATAAGATGTAGCCTTTGTCTACTACAGTGTTGTGGACCAAGCGAGGTATAGGATCCCAGTGGGTGTCCTTGCTTGTCATTGAAGTTCCTTGGTTGTTTATTGAAACAATAGAAGGACCGCTGCTCGCTTCTATTTCCCTTTAACACTGTACTTCTTTACATTTGGGATATCTTTCTCCATGATACATAGTGTTCATTCATCCATTTACAGCCAGGTGAACACCCTCCCACAGGTAATTTAAACATTACCCCAAAGGCTAATGTTCATTTCTATTGTGTATCTTAAGGCAAACTTATCTCTACCCTCCAAATCCAGGTAAATATCTTATTCTAGTAATTGTTTCAGTCTTCTAACTTGTTTCCCAAATAACAAGAAGCTTTTCTAAACTGCATTTTTTTTTTCCTTTTTGTCTTTTTTCGTGTCCGGCAACGGATCGCAACCCTCAGTGTTTTTTCCTAGACCTTTGAAATGCACAACTCTACAACACCTCTACAGGAAAGAAGCCTTGGGCTAAATATAAATAGTATGTGTGTTTCAAGATAAAACTGAAACTTGGAAATGCATCATGTCCTTTTAGATTTCTGTCACTTGGTAAAATACATATGTACTAGGATCCCGATTCAAAACTATTTACTGCTTTCAGAAAAACTAAAAATTAAATATCTGTTGAAGGCGGAAAGCTAAGCTACCTTTGGAATTTACTAGAATGCTGCAATGCAGTAGCCTATTTAAAGACATTGCATGATCTGATTGAGATATATATAGTTTTGTGGTTTTGGGGTTTTTTTTTTTACCATAACTAAATTAATTATTTTGTTTCTTATGTCAACATGAGAAATGTATTCCAAATGCTAGGTAACGTAGTATAATATTTAAATAAAATATTTGGGGGGAAAAAATAGAATTTACTAGAATGAATCTAATAACAATTACAACAAAAACAAAAATTAGCTAATAGTTGTTGAGCATTTCTTTTGTGACAAGCACCATACTAAGACATTTATATGTATTTCCTTAATCTTCTCGGTGGTCCCATGAATAAGTGCTATTCTTCAGGAACTGGGTTTCACAGAGGTTTGGTAACTCTAGGCAAAGTCACACAGTTAGGAAGCTGCAAAGCCAGAGTGAAATCCGGGTATGTCTGAGTCTGGAGCCCACACTCGCAATGGGCTGGATAAACTGCTTGAATGATCAGAATTGTAACTACCGCTGCTCACAAATGACACGAGTCTCTTCTAGAAAACCCAGGAGAATAGAATATAAAACTACTAAAGTAGACCAGAAAGTTCAGAAAGTGGTGGGGTACAATATAAATTTATAAAACATAAAAACTTTCGTTATCAGCAGTGATTTGGCAATGAAATAAAACAATACAGCTGTTATGAACTAAACATTTTTATGACTTTCCAGCGGCAGAGGAACTGCTGTTGATTTTATGTTAAGAAAGCAGGATATGTGTATTTATACTCCCAGTTTAAAAAATACACATCTGTATGTATGCATCTTTACTTTTATTCACTGTTAAAAGAGATAGACAGAAATATAAATTTAAATGTTAACAGTGCTTATCTCTGGGTGGTAGAATTATGGGTGATTTTTATTTTCCTTTTATCAGCCTGCACTTTCTAGCTTTTCTACAATAAGGAATTGTTACAATCAAAAGAACAAACAGTAAACATTATTTTTAAATTATACAAACATTTTGAAAGGTTAGGAATGAAAAGATACTTTAAGGATGAAATACTTCCTAATGGCTAATTTCATTTGAAATCTTCCACCTGTAGTGGATTCAAGGATCATTCATGAAAACATATTAGAAAAAGAGAGAGTCCAAAGAATAACTCAAGAAACTTTTGGAGACTATCCTCAACCACAACTGGAATTTGCACAATATAAGGTAGGACACTGCAATAAACATTAACTATAAGTTATCAACATTTTTGAAAAGAACAATAACTTTTTTTTTTTAAAGATGACCGGTAAGGGGATCTTAACCCTTGGATTGGTGTTGTCAGAACCACGCTCACCAAAGTGAGCAACCGGCCATCCCTATATGGGATCCGAACCCGCGGCCTTGGTGTTATCAGCACCACACTCTCCTGAGTGAGCCACGGGCTGGCCCCAGAAAAGAACAATAACTTTAAAAGTGGTAAAGAATCGGGGCCGGCCCGGTGGCGCACTGCTACAGTGCACCGCTTGGGAAGCGCGGCGGCACTCCCGCCGAGGGTTCGGCTCCCATATGCAGACCGGTTGGCGCTCACTGGCTG